AAAATAACATGTTGTATACAAAAGTAATATCTGTGTCAAATTTTAGATGGATATTATTGTTTGGTAATGTGAATTTAAGTGATATTTGGGTGACCTTATATGGGAGCTATGACCAAATATGGGCCGATAGTGAAATTTTTTTTAAATAAAAAAATTCTGAAGAAGATCTTCTACGGGAGCTATGACCAAATATGGACTTATCGTGAACAAATTTTACAGTATCATTTCTATATATAAAAGCATTAATTAATAATGAGTTATGTGCGTTTAAGTGATTTTCGGGAGGGGGCCTTGTATGGGAGCTACGGCGAATTATGGACCGATTTAGAAAATTTTTTCCTCTATATGAATTCAATTGACATAAAACTTTTACTTGTAAAAGTTCGTAAAGATATTGTTATTCTACCGGAAATTATTAACAATTATTGCATTTATCGGGAATATGTATATTTGTATGGGAGTTATATGAACTTGTGGACCGATGCCGCCCATTTTTAACAGGAATCAAGCTTTCATATAGAAACAATTGTGTGCTGATTTTTATGAAATTGTATCCCCTTTGGTGAAAATTTCATTAGAATTTGTTAAAAAAGCTTAATTTTTTCGGAGTTTTTTAAAATTTTGATTCATAACTCTCTCCGATGTAAACTGATCTTGCTCATTTTCAATACCAAACAGCCTAGGACAATAGTGAATCTTTTGGCGAATTTTATTGGATCGTTTTTACGTGAGCGGGTTTTACACAAACAGACTGACGGACGGACGGACTTTGTTGGGACTCATATGAATATTTCTTGGTATTACATACGGAATGACAAACATATGTATATACATATACCCTCTATCACCACTGATGATGGTGGAGGGTACAAAAACGAACAAAATCAGTCAAAGGAGAGCGAATTCTGGTCTAGATCATGTTTTAATTTTTTCACACATTTTATGTTTCAAAATTTGTTTATATGGAAATGGTTCTGGTTTATCAATGTTTTTTGTTTTGTTATTGAGTTTTATTAAATCCCGATTATATATTTATACATACATACATATAATTCCTTTTTTTTCAAATAATTCTGAATCCCACTTAAATAAATATATGATTATTTTTAATATTTGAAGAAATTCAATGTTGTTTTTATTGAAAGCTATTGAAACGACTATTGATTTTGATATTGCTTGATAACACTAATGAAAAATTCAGAATTTCGAATCTTTATTCCAATAAAATTTTATATTATTTTTGTTCGAAAAGTCAAAGAAATATTAAAGATTATTTTATTATTCAATAATAACAAACAATGAATATTTGTTTGAAGCTAAAAAAAATGAAATTATTAAAAACACTTTTTATAAAAACTGTCAATTCCTGAAATAAACTAAGATGAAAAGCACCCTTATGTACATATATATTTATTTCCAAAATTAAAAATAATTAAAAAGTTCAAATGCTATTCATAACAAAATTAATTTTACTATAAATAATTAAATAAATAATAACTATATATTCATTCCAATTAATGTTACTAATAAAAAAGTAATAAATTAATAACTAATAAGTATATAAAAAAATTTAATATAAATATTTATGTACATACAGAACAATGTGTATTAGTTTAATGCACAGTAGTATGGAATTCTCAATGACGCACAGCAATGGCAATTTTTTTTAATAATTTACAAATATTTTACTTATTTTGCTATTCTGAGCCATATTATATATGAGATTAGAGGATCTGTTCGGTCCTTTTTCAAAAACTGAGCTCTCTGCTAAGTCTTATAAATATCATTAGAAAATGCCAATTACAAAATATTTATTCTTCACTACTGTGCAATAGTTATCTTTTTTAAAAGTTTATAATTTTTAAAAAAGCCGTTAAAAACTACTCTATGTCGATTCGTATATGTCGTATTGACTGCTAATTTGAAAGCTCAGACCTTAAATTTTTAATGAATAAAGTTAGAAAATATTTTTCATCGGGTTCTGAAGAAAGTTATAACAAAATTAATTTTACAAGAAATAAATAGTAACTATATCTTCATTCCAATTCATGTTACTAATATAGTAAAATATTAGTAACATGAATAGTCTTAAAGGTGCTTTAAAATTTCGTAAAAAGTGCCATAACTTTTTAAGTGTTTATGTTTATTTTTGCATAAAATTCTCCAGAACAACAATTATCTGAAAATATATAAAAATTTTATTTAAAAATTTGTTTACACATTTTTTTCTAAAAACAAATTCAGAACCATATAGAGAAAAAATCTATCATTAATTTTTTTTTAAATTTTGATATTATGTGCCCACATTGGTTTTCTAGCCCTTAAAAATTTAGATTGGGATTCCTACTAGTCTCCGAGATATGAGCAAAAATGTCCATGTACATCTACAAACAAGAGCCTAAAATATTATAAACTTTTTTAGTTCATATTTTTTTTTTTTCAACTCAAAAAAATTTTTTAAATTGAAAACTTTAAATTATATTATATAAATTTCATAAATTTTTTTAAAGATACATGGACATATTTGGTCATATCTCGCAGACTAGTAGGAACCCAATCTAAATTTTTGAAGAAAGTTAGAAAACCAATGTGGCCATATAATATAAAAATTTAAAAAAAAAAATTAAAGATAGATTTTTTATTTTATGTGATTCCGAATTTTGTTTTTAGAAAAAAATAATAGTTAAATAAAATTTTTATATAATTTCACAAAACGATTGTTTTGAAAAATTTTATGCAAAAATAAAATTAATAATTATCTTTAACACGTAAAAAGTTATGGCACTTTGTACGAAATTTTTAAGCACTTTTAAACTATAGGGTGCCACAGTTTTTAAAGTTTAAGTGCAAAAATGTCAGTTCTCACTCTCGTGGACCTTTTTTTATGTGTTTAGAAAATTTTGTCCAAATCGGTCGCTATAGGAAAAATCTTTTAAATTTAAAGTAGAATTCTTCAATTACACTGTGTGACACTAAAAAACACTTGTTACGCGATATAATGCTTTTTATAGACCTAGATGAGTAGATTTTACCATTTTTAGAATCTTCAATATACCCTAAAAATCGGAAGCTATTGGAAAAAAACGCTTTTTGTTGACTAGACAGACCAAAAAATATATATCTCAATATTTTCTTAACCGATTAAATATTTTTCAACTGTTTTGAAAAGAGTTTCACTTGTCCTTTTTAAAAAGTATATACACTTTTATATTTTTACGGAAATGTGAAAAATATTTAGATCTGAATACAAATTTTTATATATATTTTTCATTTTTTTACAATTCAAGATTATTTTTGACCCACACTTTATTTGAAAACATATTTTTTAAATATTTTTTTTATTTTAGCCCATATTTCTATGAATAAAATATGATATGAAACGTTGAAATCAGATAAAAACTGACAGGAATAGAATTTTTTTTTCGTAAAATCTAAAATTTACCAAATCTCTCATTTCTAAAGTGAATTATCAATTTGAATAATAAAGTTTATATTTGTGTTGCATATCTTAAGTTGATATTTTACTTCAGGAAAGAGAGATTTGGTAAATTTTTGATTTTACGATAAAAATTCTATTTCTGTAAATTTTTATCTAATTTCAACGTTTCATATCTTATTTTATTCATAAAGATATGGGCTAAAATAACAAATATTTAATAAATATGTTTTCAAATAAAGTGTGGGTCAAAAATGATCGTGAATTGTAAAAAAATGGAAAATATATATAAAAATTTGTATTTAGATCTAAATATTTTACACATTTCCGTAAAAATATAAAAGTGTATATACTTTTTAAAAAGGACAAGGGAAACTCTTTTCAAAACCGCTGAAAAATATTAAATCGGTTAAGAAAATTTTGAGATATAATTTTTTTGGTCTGTCTAGTCAACAAAAAGCGTTATTTTTTTCCAATATCTTCCGATTTTTAGGGTATATTAAAGATTCTAAAAATGGTACTGTAATCTACTCTACTAGACCTACCAACTTCACTAGGTCTTGCGATGAGTGTATTGATTTTTTGTTATTTTGTCACACCGTGTTATCATTAGAAAATGTCAGTTAGAATATGTTTATTCTTCACTACTGTGCAATAGCCGATTGAAAATACTCTACGACGATGTGTATCTGTCGTATTGACAGCTGATTTTAAACAGGTTATAACAAAATAAATTTTACAAGAAAAAATTAAATAAATAATAACTATATATTCATTCCAATGTATGTTACTAAATTATGAATAAATAAATAACTAATAAGTACAAGAAAAAAGTTATATACATATTTATGAAAATACAGAACGAAGTGTATTAGTTTCATACACAGTAGTATGGAATTCTTAATCAAGGCACACATCACAGCAATGGTAGCCAAATTATATCTGAGTCTAAATGGTCTGTACGGTCCTTTTTCAAAAACATCTCTGCTAAGTCTAACAAATATAATTAGAAAATGCCAGTTAAAAAATATTTATTCTTTACTACTGTGCAATAGTTACGTTTTTAAGAAGTTTATATTAAAAAAAATTAATTTTATTAAATTAAATTTTAAAAATTAAAATTTAAAAACTTCTGTATGATTATGTGTATCTGTCGTATTGACTGATAATTTCAAGTTTATAATTAAAAAAAAAAAATTAGTATTAAAAGTTAAAAACTACTGTTTGATCTGCCGTATTGACTGCTAAATAGAAAGATGCTCAGACCTTCAATTTTTAATTAAGTAAGAAAATAATTTTCATTGGATTTTGGAGAAAGTTATAACAAAATCATTTTATAAGAAATAATTAAATAAATAATAACTATATATTCATTCCAATTCATGTTATAAAATAATAAAAAAGTAAAATGAATAACTAATAAGTACAAGAAAAAAGTTATATTATGAGAATACAATCGAAGTGTTTTAGTTTAATACACAGTAGTATGGAATACTCAATGAAGGTGCACATCACAGTAGTGGTATTTTTTAATAATTTACAAATATTGTTATTATGCTTTTTTCAGCCATATTTTATCTGATATTAGTCTGTACGGTCCTTTTTCCAAAATATCTCTGTTAAGTCTAACAAGTATCATTAGAAAATGCCAGTTAGAAAACATTTATTATTCACTACTGTGCAATAGTTACGTTTTTTAAGAAGTTTATAATTAAAATAAAATTAAATTTGATTAAACTAAATTTAAAAAATTAAAAGTTAAAAATTACTGTATGACGATGTATATCTGTCGTAATGACTGCTAATTTGAAAGGAAGCTCAGACCTTTAATTGTTAATGAATTAAGTTAGAAATTTTTTTAATAGAGTTCTGAAAATAATTATCATATCAAAAATTATTGTTTAGTTTTGATAGTTATTAGAAAGTAACTTAAGTAAAGTAAATTAAAACAGATCGCTGAACCAAATATTATTCATATTAAAATGAAAATTAACTCTATTAATATTGTTCCGTTAATAAGAATTATATTTTCCGTTTTGAAGAAGACTCCATTTCGACAATCATGAGGATTTTTCATTAAAAAACAATGAATTGTAATTTTTTTATAATGGTTTTTTAACGCTAAAATATACAAATGATATACATTTTTTCAATTTTTTTATTATTTTTTTTTTTTTTTTGATTATTCGATTAATTAGATACAAAGTCGATTTTAACTTTTCAAAGTTTTTCAATAAAGAATTAATTGTCGTTTATTCGAAAGTCGGCTTATAGAACCCTAGCAAATATGTACATATATGTATGTATACTGGCTATGTAGTGGTCTGTTTGCCTTCGAGAAGTTATAATTAATACACAAGTTTTTTGGAGAAGTAAGGCTGAGTGCAAGTACAAGTAGGTAGTGACGCTAGTAGTAAAAAAATATATATGTATATAAATATATATTATTAAATAATTTATTCAAAAATACATAAATTAATCTACATTATGTCTATAACGTCTTAAACGTGCTGTATTTTCTATTTTGGGTGCACCAGGTGGTGGAGTAATATCATTACGTATTGTTGTTCCAGAATGTTCTATTTTTTCAAAATCTTTAACCAAATTAAAAAGTAACATCTCATTTTCTGTACATCCATTAGGGGATTCAATTTTGTCGGTTTCATTTAAGCCAATTCCACCACTCGATCCCCCAGATTTTGTATTTGTTTTAATAGCAGACTTTCTACGATTGGCTGCAATTTGTTGTTGATCATCTGATGTATCTGTTGAGTTATCATCGAATTGTCCTAATAAAGTAGTAGGCACTCCTCGTGTTCTGAAAATATAAAAATAAGTTTATCGTTATAATCAGTATCATGTCTGAAAAAAAGCATTTAATAACTGAATTATAGTAAATTTGAATTTTATATTTTTACAGATGCATTTTTATCCTTTGATATTGATATGATTAAATTTAAATAAATTAATAAAATGCATATGCAGATTTAAATTAAAAAAGAATTTGGTACAGTAATTTTTGTTGTTATAAAACTTGTTTATGTTAGGAACGTTTTTCTGGAGGAGAACTTACATACATACATATGTATATTCATATATATAAATATTTAACAATTTATATACAAGACTTATAACAGACTATAAACATATTTATTAAAAGAGGATTTGTACACTTTGCATGGAAAGCAAAAACGTGTTTTTGTTACCCCTCTCAATATTTACCTTGCTTTATTTTATGATGATTCCCAAAATGTTTTAAGTCTAGCGATGACCGTTCGTGAGCTGGACCAATTTAAAAAAAAGGTATTTTTGAATTATGTTTTTCAAAGTTTAGTGTTGTTTTGAAACAAAATATACAATATGGGGTATCGTTTGAAGGGGCTTTAATGCCGCGTCAAATGATGTATTAATCATAAATAATCGTCTGCTCATAATTGTCATATTCCAAAATATTTAAAAGTGTTAGGTTTTTCATTAATAAAAATAAAATGTATGCACAATTTAGCACATATTGTATATTTTGTTTAAGAAAAAACTGTAAAATTTAAAAAAATGACTAAAAAGGGAAATTTTTGTAACCGGTCCACCTCACGAACGGCCATCGATAGACTGGAAATATTTTGGGAATCATCATAAAACAAAACAAAGATTTTTTGAAGCTGGGTGAAATATTGTATTGAACATGAAAAATCGTGGTCCCCATACGATATTTTCTTGAAAACTGTCCAGCTCACGAACGGACAACACTAAACCCAAAATATTTTAACATCATATTACATTACAGCGAATATTTTGAGGGGGGTAACTCAAGCACCAATTTTTGTGAGTCGGTCTAATGTGCATACATACGTATGTATGTGTTTTATTTATTACATTTTCCACAGACAGATAGACGGACGAGCATAGCTAGAACGTGTAAGATCTTATACTTACGTATATCTTAAATTATATAAGAATAACAAGATTTGCTCGAAAATCGTAAAATATACAAAATAAAAGTGTTACAATTTAAAAATTTTGCGGCTAAAAAATTATCATTCATTATTTTATTTAGAATTTTTATAAAATATTTTTAGCTGTTTTAGCAATTTTAAATTTTCCTGATGATTAGAAAATTTTTGTACTGAAAATATTTTAAAAAATATTTTAACTGGAAAAAATTATAGTAAAATGTCTGCCCAATACCAGGGATGATGTCTGAATCAAGGGCCCCAATTGCCGAAATTAAATGTACGCTATGTGATCCAAAATAAACCAAATAGATTCAACCAGTAGTTTGAATATAAAGTACTAAATATATTTACATATATATTGTCAATAAAAAAATGAATTAGGAGTGGGTTGTATATAATTTGGACATCCTCCTTCAGATTCCGAAACCCATTTTTCAATATTTAGTACGATTTCCGAGATATCGGGTGTTAACTTTGGTCTATATCCACAATTTTAAGACTAAATAAATATTGTTTTGCTCCATACGCCACTGTTTGGCGTAAAGACCACAATTTTCATACAAGAATTGAAAACAAATTAATCAGTATTCTTTTGCTTCACTGCCATAACAAAAACGTAGATCAAAGCATACATAACAGAGTGCACTTATAAGCTGAAGTCAATTCAACAGCTGATCACTATTTTTTTTATTTGAGGTAGATACAACTGTCAAAGTACACCATTTAGAGTTGCCACAATCCGAAAAAATATGTGCATCTATCAAGGGATTCATTATATTTTTAGGACAAAAAATTAATAAATAAAATTTATATTCATTTTAATCCGTAGTAAATTTATGCAAAATACTCAAAAATTGCACAAACTATCTGTCTTAAATATGCATCTATTTTATCAATTATAGGGAACTTTTTACTAATCAATTGAGAGTACAAACATCCCACAATTGTAAATAAAATTATTAAAACTCGATTTTATCATAGATATCTTAATTTTTAACAACTTTCCGTGGTAGTGGTTTGGTCATATTTCTATAAAGATCATTATATATTCCTTAAACGACAATAGGAGAGACCTACACGGTATTATAAGTTCCCAATATTGACTGATAAAAAATAATATGTATATAATTTGTAATTTTGCTACTAATTACTATTTTGTAATCTAATACTAATTTTTTGTTATTTTAATTGATAATTTATTTACTTTTTTAATAAGTAAATAATAAATAATATTCTAACCCCCTTATTCACAAACAACATTTTTATTTTATAAAAGGTTTATAAAACAAAATTTCCATACAAAATACCGTTTATAAAATAAAAATTTTGTTTGTGAATAATTTTTCAATTCATGTATAATTTTTAATAAATTTTATCTTATTATACATATTTACTTTACGTGAAGAGATTTTTGGGCATGTGGGATTGCCTTTTTTAAGGTAAATTAAAAAAACACGGTGGCAACATGTAAATTTTTTGACAGAAGTATCTACTTTGGTTGTTTTTGTAGAATTGACTTCACCTTATAAGTGCACCCTGATACATAATAAGGTGTTTTTAAACTCTTGTTTACATTATTTGTATTGGATTTTGACAGATCCATTACTTATTGGATTTTGACAGATCCATTACACTGAGTGTTATTTTTCAGCTTACAGCTTTGACAGTTTTTGTACACATATAAAATATGTACTGGTCTGGTAACACCATCTTATAAATTTAGTGAGAATTTTGTACATAAACATCAACAATTCATAAATAATTTGAGCTCTGAAGTAAAAAATGGAATTTTCATCACCAGCAGCGTTTTTGTCCGAAAATAATTATTCAGTAATGTTACGTTCAGACCGGTAAAATATTTGTTATAAAATATTTATAAAGCTGCGTCAAACAAATGCAATATTTATTTCATATTCAGACTTAAACAAATATTTTATGGTATTGTTTTATCAAACAGTGCAAAAATAATTTGGTTCAAACACATACATATGTACATGTTTTGCAGCCACAGTATATCGTATATTTTCATGCAAGAAAAAAACAATTTACCAATTTAGCAATGCGCATGATTTTCATAAAGCAAATTGATTTACTGGCAAATAAATATTTTGTCATTGTTTCATCAATGTGAACACCAAAAGTCAAACAATTTACATCATTTTGGCAAAGTAATTATTTGATCTTGCAAACCAAATGTAAGAACAACAGCTGTTCTTTGTTTATTTTCTGAAAAAGAGTGTTATCACCTCATACAAAAATGTAAATAGTCGCTTAAATAACTTTATTTTTTATAAAATATAAATCTGAGACAAAGTAGTTATGACATTTAATAGAAATTTCTATTGAAAAGCATATGTGTAGTTGACAACATACATACATACATACGTAGGTTTTTTTCATTGCATGCTTTGATAAAAAGCAAAAACAACATAAGCTCTGTTCAATAACTAAAAGTTGTTACTAGTTAGTAACAATTGTTACTGGAAAAGCGTTCATTAACTCAAAAAACTTGCAAGAAGAGCAAAAACCAAGAGCGTAAACGTTTTTTTTGATCGGGGTAGAGAAGAATGGGGGGTAAGAAAACAAACATGATTTTGGATTTCCATATTGTTTCTGAGATTCCTCTTTACACTCATTCGTACAGCTGTCATTAGGTATTATTTTTAATGAAAACATGCACATGTATATAGAACATGTATATTCTTATTTTTAATCAAACTGAATTATTTTTATGTTAAAAATTTAATTTAATGTGTATTTCGAATGGTGCAGTGTTATAAAGCCATAGTCAATAAAGCCATATAGCCTTATATCTCAATGAAATAAGAAATAAGGCCACAGGGCTTTATTTCCATGTAAGAAATGACATAAAACCATTAGGTGTTGTTGCTCATTTAATTATTTATATACACTGACTCAAATTAGTCTCCGTACAGTATGTATTTAAAAACATAATTTTTAATATTTTCTAAAATATTTGCCCGATATACAAAAAATTTGTGTTTTATCATAGGTGAATATGTCCTAATAAATTTTATAATTGCAAAACTTTTAAATAATACTCTATGTTTTTCTAAATTACTTCTTAAATGCAACACCTTTATAATCAAACTCAAAAAAGTCTTAAATTTGGTAAGCATCGTTTTAATAGCGAGTTCAAAGAAATTCGCCTTGGGATAACATATCAAAAACAATTTTTCGCTGATTGTGACCGATTTACTATCGATTTCGGTGTAAAAATTTCGCCATTCCGCATTAATTACATTTTTTGAACATTGATTGGTTATAAATTGTATATTAAAAAATTTTTTTCTCCAAAATTCCTCATATGTGCTCTATAGGATTATGATCTGGACTTGAGAAGTGTAGGAAGTACTTCTTTTACGTTGTCGCCTAACCATTCACTGTAAATTTTTGACGAGCGTCCCCTAATTCCTAATTTTACTGCATTGGCTTCCAAATGTAGTTTAATTAATTATATTATCCATTGTCTTTCCACGAATATGATGTTTTGGAAACATCCTACAGACATTATAAACCATCAATATACCACCAACGGATTGCACACTTGCTTTATGATTTTTTTTAATTCACAAGCGGCATTTTGTTTACGCCACACAAATCTTCGGCTTTCTGATCCGAAAATGTTGTACTTACTTCCATCTGTAACAAAATATAGTTTTCCAGTTGTATTCCGCTTTGTTTGCATAATATCGGGATACTCCAAGCGTTCTTTACTGAAATAAACACTTTCTTAGGTGGAACACATGTCTTATATTCAGATGATGAAAATTTTGTCTAGTTTGTGCATTTGCAGATACATTTTCACTTCTTGTATAACTCTTGGCTATTTCCATGACACTAA